ACAAAGAAATCTGTAACTGGTTGTGATCAATTAGTTGTAAACACCACGGCACTCAGACCAGCCGACAAGAGGACTCTTAACCGCCCCAGCCTCGGTGACGGATTCCACAGTGGCCACATGACACAAGTTCATCTAGTCAGACACCATCCTGGAAACATGGCCCCAGGGTCCAAGGTACCAATGTTGCTAAATGGGAAGGTAATCATCTGGAGCTCTCAGTGCTTCAGAATGATGTCAATGTGGAGGAAAGTAAAGCTCAGAAGAGAAGCGCAGTGTGGAAGCCCTGGATCCAACTTTACCTGACTGAAGCTCACCCTGGGACTTTCAGGAAGAAAGCCAAGACAGCCCTTTTAGGGGGCTTACAGTTTCACAATGGGCTTCCGTCATCTGCTCAGAAGAGTTCTGTCTAGCACATGGATTCCAGGTGAGGGCAGCCAGCTTCCTGCAGGCTCAGCAGAGGGAACGCTGCCTCAAAAAAGGGGTGTTGGCTGGGCGCAGTGGCTCACGCCTGTAATCCCAGCACTTTGGGAGGCCGAGGCGGACGGATCACAAGGTCAAGAGATCGAGACCATCCTGGCCAGCACAGTGAAACCCCGTCTCTACTAAAAAATACAAAAATTAGCTGGGCATGGTGGCGCGCACCTGTAGTCCCAGCTATCGGGAGGCTGAGGCAGGAGTATTGCTTGAACCCACAAGGTGGAGATTGCAGTGAGCCGAGATTGCACCACTGCACTCCAGCCTGGTGCCTGGTGACAAAGCAAGATTCTGTCTCAAAAAAAAAAGGGAGGGGTGTTTGGAGCCAGGTGCACAGCTCACACCTGTAAGCCCAGCACTTTAGGAGGCCAAGGCAAAAGGATTGCTTGAGGTCAGGAGTTCAAGACCAGCCTGGGCAACATACAAAGACCCTGTCTTTTTTAAGACGTTGTTTCCCTCTTGTTGCCCAGGCTGGAGTGCAGTGGTGCTATCTCAGCTCACTGCAACCTCCGCCTCCCAGGTTCAAGTGATTCTCCTGCCTCAGCCTCCCAAGTCGCTGAGATTACAGGCATGAGCCACCACACCCAGCTAATTTTGTATTTTTAGTAGAGACAGGGTTTCACCATGTTGGTCAGGCTGGTCTCGAACTCCTGACCTCAAGTGATCTGCTTGCTTCAGCCTCCCAAAGTGCTGGGATTACAGGCATGAGCCACCATGCCTGACAAAAAAATTGTTTTTGAGACAGAGTCTCCCTCTGTCACTCAGGCTGGAGTGCCATGGTGCGATCTCAGCTGGCTGCAACCTCTGCCTCCCGGGTTCAAGCGATTCTCCTGCCTCAGCCCCCCACATAGCTGGGATTACAGACACGCACCACCATGCCCAGCTAATTTTTGTATTTTTAGTAGAGATGAGGTTTCACCATGTTGGCCAGGCTGGTCTTGAACTCCTGACCTCAACTGATCCACCCGCCTCAGCCTCCCAAAGTGCTGGGATTACAGGTGTGAGCCACCACAGCGAACCTACCAAAAAACATTTTTTTAATTAGCCAGCCATGGTAGTAGGCACCTACAGTCGCAGCTACTTGGGTGGCTGAGGTGGGAGGATCACTGAGCCCAGGAGCTTGAGATTGCAGTGAGCTATGACTGCACCACTGCACTGCAGCCTGGGTGAGATCCTGTCTCCTAAAAGAAAAATGGGCAGTGGGAAGGTGTGTGAAGATAGGAAACAGGGATCAGTGAGAATGTCGCTGACCCACCCCCAGGCCAAGACCAGACTCACCCTCAGGGCCCAGTGCCAGTCCCCAGCCACATCCTTCACTTTGGAGCCCGCAATGTAGCCCAGACCACTGAGGGAGGGAGAGAGGGGAAAAAGAGGGGACAGCCAGTCAGTCAGGTCCCCCAGGCCAGGCCCTCCTGTCTTCCCCTGGCCCCAGGCCCCAGGCCCCAGGCCCACTCACCTTCCCACCGGAATGGCAAAATAGAAGACGCTGAGCATCCGGCTCCGCTGGTCGGCCACGAAGAGGTCGGCAATGAGGGTGGGCGCGATGGTGGAGTAACTGGCCTCCCCGACCCCCACCAGGCCCCGGGTCAGGAGGAGCAGCCAGAAACGCTGGGGAGAGAGACCGGGGAGAGGTGGCACCCCAGCCTGCAGCCAGCCTCCGGGACACCGCACCGGCCGGCTCCCGGGAGGCAGCAGGGACGGCGGGAGACGCCTGGGTTTGAGAATCAGACAGACCTGAGCTTGCATCCTGGCTCCACCACTGACTAGCTGCGACTTGGGGAAAATAACTTAACCTCTCTGAGCCTCAGTTTCCTCATCTGCAAAAGGAGGATAACAATGACTTTTCACAGAGCTATTGTGAGGACTGGATAATAAGAGGTTTAGATAAGACAACCCCTGCTTGCCTGGTATGGGAAATTTTTTAATTTTATTTTTTAAATCAATAATGACCTCAGGCTTAGTAGTGGCTCACGCCTGTAATCCCAGCACTTTAGGAGGCCGAGGCGGGCAGATCACAAGGTCAGGAGATCGAGACCATCCTGGCCAACATGGTGAAACCCCGCCTCTACTAAAAGCGCAAAAATTAGCTGGGCATGGTGGCACGTGCCTGTAATGCCAGCTATTTGGGAGGCTGAGGCAGGAGAATCGCTTGAACCCAGGGGGCGGAGGTTGCATGCTGTCAGCCAAGATTGCGCCACTGCACTCCAGCCTGGTGACGGAGCGAGACTCTGTCTCAAATAATAATAATAATAACAGTGACCTTAGATGGGAGTTTATGTGTCTACCAAAGACGCCTGAAGCTGAGGACGGGTACTATCACACAAGGAAAGTGCACAGGTCTTGGGGCTGAGGACAGAGTTCTGGGGCAGTGTGACAACAAACAGAGGAGGCTTCAGAGGAGCAAAGAAGCCACAGCCAGGGAGGCAGGAGGAGAACCAGAAGAGGATGGCATCACGAAGGCAGGAGAGAGTTTCAGGAAGGAAGAGTAGGTCAACAGCGCCAGAGGCTCCCAGGAGACCCAGTGCAAACAGGACTCGGAAGTAGGAGCTGTGTTTAGCAACCAGGCCACTGTTGACTTTGGCAAGAGCAGGGTCCATGGAGCGGTGGGGCAGAAGTCAGCAGCAGCACTCGAGGGGTGCGTGGGAGTGAGGAAGTGCAGACAGAGTGACAGCATCTCCCCAGCCGCTCTTTCACCCACACTGGTGCCACATTCTTGGGGCCTTTTAGGAAGTCTGATAAGGAAGGAGAGGAGGTAGAGAGGACAGACCAGGTAGGGTTTGGAGTGTTTAGGTATGGAGTAGAAGGAGCCAGTGGCCAGGGGAAGAGGGAATAATGGACAGAGAACTCTCTGGAAGAAAAGGGGTGAGGATGGGGTGGGCCAAGTTAACTCAGGCCAGGAGGGGTATAAAATGGCATGGACCAGGGAAACTGCAGGAGTCCCTGGGGTCCAGTCTGCCATGGCTCCAAGAAACACCAGCAGAGACTGACAGGGAGTGGGTGTGGGCAGAAGCAGGAGCCAGCTCGGGGCCTCACCTCTCTGGGGATGAAGGATGACCCCAGTGTCACCAGGGACCAGAAGGCAATGCCCCCGCACATGAGATACTTCCGATTGTACCTGTCACCCAGGTAGCCAAACACAGGTGCCAACACCATGTAACTGGAGATGAACACTAGGGGGAAGCAGAGAGTCACAGCCCAGCCGGGGTACCCCTACCTCCCACTCCCACCCCAGCTGGAACCACCAAAGCACAAGAGATGCCCACCTTCTCCTCACGGAATTCACAACACCCCCGCATCCCAGCCTGAAGCCCATCAGAGCTTCCTGCCAGGCGATGGTCCAGCCCCATCTTGAAAACCTTTCCACATTTCCCATTGTACAGTAGAGGGTCCTACTGCTTGTCAATTCCTCCCACCTAGCCAAGACAAGCTCCAAACTCCATACATACCATGGCTCACAATGCCCCCATCCGATCTAGCCCCTGCCTACCTCTCCAAACTCACGGCCAGCCTTTTTCCCTTCCTCTCTCTGCATCCCAGTGGCCCAACTGTCAAGGTCAATACCGTTAGGGGTTTGGGCACCTGCTGTTTCCTCTATCTGGGACAGTCTCTCCTCTCCCCTGAAACTTCACAGAGCATAGTTCCTTCAGGTTCCAGCTCAGATACTTGCCCAGGGTCAAGCCCGCCCAGGCGAGCACACATCCAGTCCCTGACTCTCACATTTCCTGTTTTCTCTTACATAACACGTATCCCTATGGGAAAATGGTCCCATTTTAGTTTAGGTTTTACTGACTGTTGCTCCCACATGCACAGCAGAGTATCAGCTCCCAAGGCAAGATCCTTGCCTGTATTGGCCATGACTGTGTTTCTTTCACTCACTTAACACACAGCCTAGTGCAAAATAGGTGCTCATTAAGCATGTGCTGAATAATAAAGTGAATAAATGCGGCTGCCTAGAAAAAGCTGCTGCTCCAGGCCAGGCACAGTGGCTCACACCTGTAATTCCAGCACTATGGGAGGCTGAGGCAGGAGGATCACCTGAGGTCAGGAGTTCGAGACCAGCCTGACCAAAATGGCAAAACCCCATCTCTACTAAAAATACAAAAATTAGCCAGGCGTGGTGTGGGTGCCTGTAATCGCAGCTACTCAGGAGGCTAAGGCAGGAGAATCACTTGAACTCAGAAGGCAGAGGTTGCAGTGAGCTAAGATTGTGCCATTGCACTCCAGCCTGTCAACAGAGCGAGACTCCGTCTCAAAAAAAGAAAGAACTGCTGCTGTAACTCAACAACTCATCAGAGGTTTGCAGACCTTGCCCTATGATCCCATTCTCATTGCTCCAGACTTTACCTCAAATACCTCCAGTTCCTCATTGGTCTGGATTAAAGAAAAGAGCACTGCAAGACCTGGTTTCAAATTCCTGTTCCGCCTCAAACTGGTAGTGTGACCCTGGGCAAGTCTTAACTCTTCTCCAAGCCTCAGTTTCTTTATAAGCTGTAGATACCACTGCCTACTTCCTCTATAAAATAGGAACAATAACACCTATTTTTTGACTGATGGAAGGATTAGGGGACAATGGGCATAAATGGTCTTAGCAAAGTCCTATAGGTAATCATCACTTCCTCCAGGCCAGGCACACAGTGAGTACTCAGAAATGGTTGAGAAATTAATGAAGAAGGGAAGGAAGAAGAAGAGGGCTTGGCTCTAGCTTTGCCTCCCCCACGAGCCCCAAAGCTGTGAACAAGTAAAATGTACCTCTCCCCATTCCAGACACCCTCTCCTGCCATTATTCTTATTCTTTTTTTTTTTTTTTTATTTAGAGTTGGAGTCTCACTCTGTCACCCAGGCTGGAGTGGAGTGGTGCGATCTCAGCTCACTGTAACCTCTGCCTACCAGGTTCAAGTAATTCTCAGCCTCCCAAGTAGCTGGGATTAGAAGCGCCCACCACCATGCCTAGCTAATTTTTGTATTTTTAGTAGAGATGGGGTTTTGCCATGTTGACCAGGCTGGTCTTGAACTCCTAACCTCAGGTGATCCACCCACCTCCCAAAATGCTGGATTACAGGCATAAGCCACGGCGCCTGGCTCTCCTGCGGTTATTTAATGGGTGTCTACCATGTGCCAAACATTGCACTAGGCCCTTCACAGACAATCTTTCAGTTAATCTTCACATCAGTCCTAAGAGACGATTCGTGTTATTACTCGTTCCATCTTATAGACAAGGAAAATGAGGCTTAGAGAGGTTGAGTGCCTTGCCTACCACCACACAATAAGTGGAAGAGCTGAGATTTAAACCCAGGTCTGTCTCCACCATTATACTAAACTGACTCCCTCTTTAAATGTGGTGTCCCGTCTGACCGCTGAGCGACATCAGGGCCATCACCTTCCCTAACTGGCCACAAAAACTTCATTAATGAGCCCCCAGGCAGGCCAGCACTTGGCCCCAGTCGGGACAGAACAGGAAGAAGAGCCGCTATGGGACCAGGAGGGGTCCCCACTCACCGGTCTGGATGAGCCCAGAGCTACTGTCCCCGATGTCGAAGAACTGCTCGATGTCAGGAAGGACACCTGAGAAAAGGAGAAAATTCAGCATGGGCCGGCAAAGTAGCGCCACCCGCGGGACCCTGGCTCCCCTCTCCTGGACTAGCTTCCTCCCAGAAGTCAGTCCCTACCAGCCACGGTGAAGCGGTCCATGTAGTTCAGGAGGTTGATGTAACACAGCACCCCCACTATAAGAGCCGAATGGCCCGGAGATAGGCCGGTGATGCGCTGCAGCCCCTCCCGGTCCAGGACCTCGGGCTCCTCGGACTTGGAGTTCCCCGTGGACCCTGGCAACCCCGGGGTGCCAGGCACCGGCCCGTCGTCCGGGTCATCCGCCTGGCTGAGGAAGGGCGCGGTGTCGGACCCGGCCATGGTCCCAGGGCGCCGCGCCCGCCCGCGCTCCGGTCCCACCGACGATCCCACCTGCGAGGGGAGGAGGCTGGAGAAAGGAGGATGGACGGAACCCAGGCAAGGGAAGTGCGCCCGGAGACGGGTAGCTTGCCCTGAAGCACAGAGCACGACTGGGAAGGGAGCGGGGGACCTTGTCACGCCTCCCCGTTTCAGTAGACACACAGCGCGGAGGGAACCTGCAGAATACACGTGATGTCGGAGACAGGACGGGCTGAAGAGGGCACGATCCCACGTTGAGGCCACCCGTCACCCGGGATAGGAGGCCGCTGCAGTCGCTGTCGCTCAGCCCTGGCCCCGCACCAGGGCAGCCGCCATGTTGCTTAAAGCCGGTCATGTGACGCGGGAGCCGGGGTGGAGGGGGGTCCCCGCGGGGAAGCCCTCGGCACGTGACCGGCCGCCCGACTACGGAAGCCTCTTAGACGTTCCGCCCGGCCTCCCGCGTCACGTGACTGCCGGCTGGTTGCCACGGTAACCAGGAACCTTCCCAGACCCTGCGGTCCCAGGAGCGTCAAAAAGGGCGTCCCGATGACTTGCTGGAGTCGTCTGCCCTTCCGAATCTCAGCTATCTTATCTGGAACGCCCACGACAGACTCCTCCTTCAACAAACGGGATAATGGGGTCTCAAAAGGTTTTGGAAATGGTAGATACCTCTAAAAGCCAAGGAGCAGCCCTAGCTGTCGGGAACCATCCTCTCTTCCTCCCAGGGTCTGGTTGGCGGCTTGATACGCTCAGTAAAGGATGGATTGGATGGATGGATGGAGGGATGGATGATGGATGGATGATGGATGGATGATGGACGGACGGACGGACGGACGGACGGAGCGAGCTTCAGCAGCGCCCCGCCGTTTGTTGGGATTCCCCAACCTTGCTAGCCTTATAAACTCCTGAGCCTTTACCGTGGACACTTAAATACCTATCAAAGGAAGCGTCTCCACCTGCCCCTCCTGGAGCATGTTTTTCCTTACTCCAAGCGGGACTGGAGCCCTTACGCCCTTCGGCGGGCTTTGTAGTGCAGGCGGGGACTCCGAGCTTAAGGAGATTCCCCGCTACAGGACTGGGGTCAAAGGGATAACTTGGAGTGGTTCCTTAGTGGCAGCTTATAATCTCCAAGCTACATCTAATAGGCACTCTAAGTAAAATTAGTGTAGTTCTGTGCAAATACAGCTTCAAGACCCAACTTTCAACCAGACCTTGAAAACCCTCTACTGAAATTCTGGAGTCTCGTGGGGAGAGAATCCCCCACCCCAAGATGCCTTATTAGAAACTATTTTGAGTCCGAATAGACATAATTGGCCTTGCTCTCCACAACTGCTCCCCGCCCATACTAGGGGCCTCGTGTTTCACAACCTTAAGCTTGGTTTCCCTTGGTGGACAGGAAATTCAGATTGCAGCCATTTAATTCCCTCAACAAAATATTATTGAACATCTACTATGTGCCTGGCATTTTACCAGGTTTCAGGGAAAGGCAGACTTACTCCCTTCCCTCGTGGAGCTTATCTAGAGAGTGATACACATTGTAAATTGCACCTGTGGAACGAAAAGGCAGGCTACATGTTGGATGAAAATTTTTACGAAGCGTACATCTGCCAAAGGGCTTGATCCATGTAAAGAACTTTTTTTTTTTTTTTTTTTTTTGAGACAGAGCCTTGCTCTGTCACTCAGACTGCAGCTGGAGTGTAGTGGTGGGATCTCAGCTCACTGCAACCTCCACCTCACAGGTTCAAGTGAATCTTGTGCCTCACCCTCCCAAGCAGTTGGGATTACAGGCATGAACCACTATGCCTGGCTAACTTTTTATATTTTTGGTAGAGATGGGGTTGCACCATGCTGGCCAGGCTGGTCTTGAACTCCTGACCTCAAGTGATCTGCCTGCCCCAGTCTCCCAAAGTTCTGGGATTACAGGCATGAATCACCATGCCCAGTGTCTTAATTTTTATATTTGTAGAGATGAGATCTTGCTATGTTGTCCAGGCTAGTCTGGAACTCCTGACCTCAAGCAATCCTCCCGTTTCATCCTCCCAAAATGCTAGGATTACATGTGTGAGCAGCCGGCTCTTTTGTTCATTTTAAAAATCGTGTTTTTGGCCAGACACAGTGGCTCAGCCCTGTAATTCCAGCACTTTAGGAAGTTGAGGTGGGAGGATCACTTCAGCCCAGGAGTTCAAGACCAGCCTGGGTCATAAAGCAAGACTCATCTCTACAAAAAGCTAAATAAATGAAAATTAAACATGCATTTCCCATATGACCCAGCAATTCCACTCCTAGGTATCCACCAATAAGAAATGAAAACACATATCCAAACAAAAACCTGTATATGAATGTTCATAAAAGCATTATTCATAATAGCCCAAAAATGAAAAGAATCCACATGTCCATCAACAGGGGAATAATATATTCATACAATGGGAATACTGCTTAGAAATAAAAAGGAATGACCTGTCAGAGACATTCAAACCTGAGTGACTCCATCTTGAGTGAGGGCTAGGAAAATAAGGCTGAGACTTGCTGGACTGAATTCCAGAAAGGAAGGCATTCCTAGCCTCTAGATGTTTATGGTTAAGGGAACAAATTAATAATGTTTACTAGGCCGCGTGTAGTGACTCACACCTGTAATCCCAACACTTTGGGAGGCCAAGGAGGGCATATCACCTGAGGTCAGGAATTTGAGACCAGCCTGATGAACATGGTGAAACCCCATCTTTACTAAAAATACAAAAATTAGCTGGGCATGGTGGCGAATTCCTGTAATCCCTGCTACTCAGGAGGCTGAGGCAGGAGAATTGCTTGAACTGGGACCCAGCAGACAAGAGGTTGCAGTGAGCCGAGATCATGCCACTGCACTCCTGCCTGGGCTGCAGAGCGAGACTCCATCTCAAAAAAAAAAAAAAAAAAGAAAGAAAGAAAGAAGAAGAAGAAGAAGAAAAACGAATTAATTCTTTATCACAAACCCTTGCAACAGAGCACATGTCCCCATATATACAAGTATTGCACATAAGGAGACACCTTCCTCCTCCTCCTTTCAGGAATGTCCCACTCTGTCTATGAAGTAGCTGTACTCTCACTGGTTTACTTTTTTTTTTTTTTTTTTTTGAGACAAAGTCTTGCTCTGTTGCCCAGGCTGGAGTGCAGTGGCATAATCTTGGCTCACTGCAACCCAGGTTCAAGTGATTCTTCTGCCTCAGCCTCCCGAGTAGCTGGGACTACAAGCATGCACCACCACACCTGGCTAAGTTTTGTATTTTTAGTAGAGACAGGGTTTCACCATGTTGGTCAAGCTGGTCTTGAACTCCTGATCTTGTGATCTGCCCACCTCAGCCTCCCAAAGTTCTGGGATTACAGGCATGAGCCACCATGCCCAGCTCACTGGTTTACTTTCTTAATAAACTTGCTTTTACTTTGCACTGCAGACTCACCCTGAATTCTTTCTTGGGTGAGATCCAAGAACCCTCACTTGGAGGCCTGTATAGGACGCCTGTTCTATAACAGAACTACTGATACAAACTCAGAAATACTGTGTTAAGTGAAAGAAGCCAGACACAAAACACTGCATACTGTGTTATTCCATTTATATGAACACCCAGAAAATGCAAAAGTAAGGTGACAAAAAGCAGATTAGTCATTGCCTAGGGTCACAAGCAGAAAGAAACTTTTGCATAATTGTATACATCTACTAAAACTCACTGAAGCCAGGCGTGGTGGCTCACACCTGTCGTTCCAGTGCTTAGGGAGGCTGAGATGGGAAGATTAAGGCCGGGAGTTCGAGGCTGCAGTGAGCTATGATTGCGCCACTGCACTCTAGCCTGAGTGACAGAGCAAGACTCTGTCTCTTGGTAAACAATTTTTTGAAAAAACACACTTAACTGTATGCTTAAAATGAGTCAATGTTTAGGCATATTAATTAAACTACAATAGGCCAGGCCCGATGGCTCACGGCTGTAATCCCAGCACTTTGGCAGGCCAAGGCAGGCAGATTACTTGAGGACAGAGTTCAAGACCAGCCTGGCCAACATGGGGAAACCCCGTCTCTACTAAAAATATTACAATTTGCCAGCCACGGTGGTGAACGCCAGTAATCCCAGCTACTGGGGAGGCTGAAGCAGGAGAATTGTTTGAACCTGGGAGGTGGAGGTTGCAGTGAGCTGAGATCGTGCCACTGCACTCCAGCCTGGGTGACAGAGCGAGACTTCATCTAAAAAAAAAAAGGAAAGAAAAGAAAAGATCATTCTGGCTGCAGCATGGAAGATAGATTTGAGAGGCCAGAGGGGAAACAGCCACCCGTGAAGTGGTTGTGGCACTAGCCTAGGCTGCAGGCAGTGGTGGCTTGGCCTAGGACAGCATGGAGAGGGACAGAGGGAGCTGATTTGGGAGGGAGCTGGGACCGTTAAATTGAATGGGTGATGCAGTGGGTGTGGGGGATGAAGAGGAGTGGAGAGTGAAGCTTTTCTGGCTTGTACAGAGATGGTGGTGGGATTCTTTGAGACAGGAGTTTAATCATTCAAGAAACATTTGTTAGAATACTACTGTGTCAAGGTGTCAGACACCAGGTAAGAGACTTTTTTTTTTTTTGAGATGGGGTCTCGCTCTGTTGCCCTGGTTGGAGTGCAGTGGCACAATCACAGCTCACTGCAGCCTCGAACTTCTGGGCTCAAGCAATCCTCCCACTTCAGCCTCCTGAGTGGCTGGAACGACAGGCATGCACCGCACACCTGGTAATTTTTTTGTTTGTAGAGATGGGGTTGTGCTAGGTTGCCCAGGCTGGTCTGGAACTCCTGGCCTCAAATGATCCTCCTACCTCAGCCCCCTGAAGTGCTGGGATTACAGGCGTGAGCCACTGCAGCCCAGCCAAGATATATATATATATATATATATTTTTTTTTTTTTTGAGACGGAGCCCTTCTCTGTTGCCCAGGCTAGAGTGCAATGGCACAATCTCGGCTTGCTACAACCTCCAACTCCCGGGTTCAAGGGATTCTCTTGCCTCAGCCTCCCGAGTAACTGGGATTGCAGGTGACCACCACCATGACCAACTCATTTTTTTGTATTTTTAGTAGAGATGGGGTTTCTCCATGTTGGCCAGGCTGGTCTCAAACTCCTGACCTCAGGAGATCCGCCCGCCTCAGCCTCCCAAAGTGCTGGGATTACAGGCACGAGCCACTGTGCCCAGCCCCAACCTTCTGTTTTTCTTCTGTAACATGGGAATAAGAACACATATCTCACAGGGTTGCTCTGAGGATGAATGAGGTTATGAAAAGCACCAAGGTTGGTATGTGGCACTTAGTAAAGGCACATTAAAGTTTCAAAGGTCTCTAATCAGGAGTTTGAGAAAGAACATCCAGGGCCAGGTGCAGTGGCTCACGCCTATAATGCCAGCACTTTGGGAGGCAAAGGCAGGAGAATTGCTTGAGGCCAGGAGTTCCAGACCAGCTTGGGCAACCTAGGGAGATTCCATCTCTACACAAAAATTTAACAATTAACAGGTGTGGTGACCTACACCTGTAGTCCCGGGTACTCAGGAGACTGAGGTGGGAGGACTGCTTGAGTCCACAAGGTCAAGGCTGCAGTGAGCTATGATAGCACCACTACACTCCAGCCTGGGTGACAGAGCAAGACTGTGTCTCAAGAAAACAAAACAAGGCTGGGCATGATGGCTCACACCTATAATCCCAGCACTTTGGGAGGCAGAGGCAGGCAGACTGCTTGAGCTCAGCAGTTCAAGACCAACCTGGGCAAAATAGCAAGATCCCACCTCTACAAAAGATACAAAAAAAAAAAAAATTAGCTGGGCATGCTGTCACGTGTCCCCAGCTAATCAGGAGGCTGAGGTAGGAGGATCACTTGAGCCCGGGTGGCAGAGGTTGCAGTGAGCTGAGATCGTGCCACTGCACTCCAGCCTGCATGATAGAAGACCCTATCTCAAAAAAAAAAAAAAAAAAAAAGGAAGGAAAGAAAGATCACCCTAGAGATTCTTTTAGACATGTCAAAGGATGAACAATCTCATCATAGAAGAAATGCAAAGTCTTTTACAGTGAGTGCTCTATCCCATATCCTTCCCAGGTTAACTCGAGAAGGTATGAGAAAACTGGAACCTTCCAGCACTTGCTAGAGGACATGTAAAGAGGTATAGGCACTTTGGTTAGCAATCTGACAATATTCAAGAATTAGTGACCAGTGATTCCACTCCCAGACAGAAGCTCCCGAGAAAAATCCCACACAGGTACCTCAAGGGGATGACTACAACATTGCTTGCAATAGTAACATCCTGGAACTAGAACTGGACTTATTTATAAATGACAGAAACCCTAAAATATCTGTAATTTTCAGAGGGACAGCAGTCCCTCTTTCATGGGAAAGCTCAGAGGTCAGCACTGCCAGGCCAATGAGGTGCTATATGAATGTTGTGATCCAGGCACCTTCTCTCACTGTCCTGGCCCATGTGGCTTCTGTTCCAGACGTCACCTCAAGTCAGTAGGGCTGCTCCGCTTCCAGTAAGGCAGGAGGCAAGCAAAGGAGAGGGCACAAGCTGCCTGCTATGCACACTTCTGGGAAGTGGTACCTTACTCCACTTACACCCCAGGAGCC